TTCTATATATATATAAATATATATAGACATGTAAGAACATCTTCCACTCAGAGTATGCAGTGAACACTAACTAACATTATTTATTAAAAAGTAATTTTTAAAAAAATATCTTCACAAGGGACATGTATGTTTGAGAGGAAAATCAGGCAATGCTGCAACAATGTAATTAATCTTCAGGTTTTTTACATAGCAGTATTCCAGAGACTTACTGTCTCTATAATACACAAATTATACAACAAGTAATATCACAATCATTGGAGACAGAACATCTTCATGTTTTGGTCTGCAACTTTTTTTTTTCCCCCTGCTTCTTAGTAAATGGAAAATTGCTGGAAAAATTTTGTCCTGAAATTAATTATATTTTCAGTAGAAATTATAATTCTCTCTGATTTAGTGTTGGTTGACATATATACTTTCATTGTGTATCTATATCTTAGCTGCACTGCAGAGAAACTGATGTGTTCTAGGCAGGATGTGGAATAGAGGAGATGTAGGAATGGGCTGAAGTATCCTTTATATTTGCCTTTATATCTAGGGGAGTTGAAAATAGGCAAGAATGGAGAGAAATTTTGTATGGCAGTGCACAGAATTTTGCAAGTTTAATGTGAGCCCTGCAACAATCCGATGCATTTTAGTTACTGGTAAGTTTGTTAAATTCTGTTTGAAAAATTATTCATTTTAGAAGACAGTCTTCTAATCAATATTATTTCCCCTGTGTCAACAGCAACCTTTTTAAAAGCATAATATTGGCAACCTGGTTCTGCTGATAAAAAATTTTGTATTTAAAATCTTCAGTTTTAATTTATTTTCAGCTGCCAAGGTGACTACCTAAAATGACTGTCTTTAGAAATATGTTAGAAATTTGGCATACAATCCTCTAAACTAGGCAGCCAGTTCTCTAGCAGACTAAATTCTTAGAATGCAATATTGAGGAGAAAAGATCCATTATGTCAGTGTGGATTTATAGATACATATATACACATATGCGCGCACACACACACTGAAGTGTTTGCTTGAGGTCAGTCTGAACATGTGGGGAAAGAGAAGTTTTGGAGAGGTTGGGAAAGCTTATCTGAGAATTGTTAACTGTTGGGTCTTTTCAGGCAGGCTGAATGCTCTCTAGCATGAAGTATAGAAGAGAGATAACATAACATGTAAAAACAGTGTTTTGTGCAACAGCTGTTATTTGGTGCAGCTTCATTCCCTCCTTCCTCCTGTAAAAAAAGAAATTTCACCTGAAACAAATGTTAGCAAGATTTCTGGGAAAAAATCAGACTAAGCATGTAATCTGGTTTCTGCCTGTCTCTCATCATCATCTTCAGGTAATAAGAGCTTCAGTGCTGCACATGCCATGAGAATTTAAAAACACTTCCATTTTGATTTTACAGTTCTTTTATCAGTTAAAATATTACAGATCTTATAATTGCTTAATTTCCTGCATAATGCTGTGGACAAACTGCTAGTTACATTTAATTATGATGCTGATTTTCATCAATACTGTGGTCCTATAGAGTATTTACCTCAAACTTCATTGTGCCTCTGTGTGACTGCCAGGTGGTTCTCCTTAACTGCTGCTTTTTCTGGTACTTGGAATTTTTTATGTGCTTGAAGGTGTAAAGTGTAATGATGCAGTCACATGTGCTATCCCAAGATTTGACTTACTATATACTACAGTCAACTCTATTATTTATAGTGGCAATCTTGGATAATGCAGAAGGATTAGAAGCTAGAGTTACTACTTGCAGACCTCAGCTGACTCTGCAGAGCTGGCTGTGATGTCTTTATGGGTCTGATTCAATAGAAGTTAAAAGCCATTTTGGACTCAGGAAAAGGCATAGCTCATGCACAAAATTATTGGCTGAATTAATACGTTTTCCTGGAACTAGAATCATTGGCATCACTTTGCAGTGACAGCTAAGGTAGCTCTGTGCAGAGCTGATATGGCAGGCAGGATTAATTAGTTCATCCATACCCCACATAAAGATGGTTAATATCTGAAAGGTGATATTTGGACTCTGCATCTGACTGTTGATTCAGTCTTTCTTGCATAGAACCAGCTTGTATGTTTCTGTGTCTGTGGCATGGTTAAATATTAACTGGCCACTGATTATTTCTGAGTTGACTGGTGTGTTTTATGTGTGCTTGAAAAGAAGGAGAGAAAAATCTGTATTGTTAGGGTGTCAGTGTGTTTTACAACTTGTATTTGGAGCCCTATCAGAATTTCTAACAGTGCATAGAGATTGTATTAATATGAGATAAAAATAACTCCAGCCCATGAATTTATATCTAAGTTTGACCAGCAGGTCGAGGGAGGTGATCCTGCCCCTCTACTCTGCTCTTGTCAGACCCCACCTGGAGTACTGCGTCCAGCTCTGGGGGCCCCAGTACAGGACAGACATGGAGCTGTTGGAGCGAGTCCAGAGGAGGCCATGAAGCTGATCAGAGGGCTGGAGCACCTCTCCTATGAGGACAGGCTGAGAGAGTTGGGATTGTTCAGCCTGGAGAAAAGGCGGCTCCGGGGAAATCTAATTGTGGCTTACCAGTACCTGAAGGGGCCTACAGGAAAGATGGTGAGGGACTGTTTATCAGGGAGTGTAGTGACAGGACAAGGGGTAATGGTTTTAAGCTGAAGGAGGGTCGATTTAGATTAGATGTTAGAAAGAAATTCTTTACTATGAGGGCAGTGAGGCACTGGAACAGGTTGCCCAGAGAGCTTGTGGAGGCCCCATCCCTGGAAGTGTTTCAGACCAGGCTGGATGGGGCTTTGGGCAATGTGGTCTAGTGGAGGGTGTCCCTGCCTGCAGCAGGGGGGGTTGGAACTAGATGATCTTTGAGGTGCCTTCCAACCCAAACCATTCTATGATTCTATGATTAAGTTTATAGAATGGACAAATACACCGCAATACAAAGAAAAAGACTTTTGATAAATCACCTACAGAAGTGGAAGTAGAACCTTTCAAACTTACGTCTGGTGCCATGTTCATGGTACAACAATCTTTTAAATCCATTTTAGGAAAATGTTTTGACTTTACAATATAATATTAATAGTATTTATTATTGTAATTTAGTTCCTAATCCTGCAAAGATGTATGCTGTTTCTTAACTTTATGCATAATATGTCATCCTCCTAAGTTATAATCTTGCTCATAAAAGATGATTGTAACCATGTATATGGAATTTTCTTTGACCTATTCTTTTTTTTTAAAAAAAAGTTTCTAAGTATAAATCTTCAGCCCTTTACATGAGCTGCTTATGAATTGTCATGTCGTAAAAATGATGAGTATCTTATTTTAGACGACAAATACGATAGAAACTTTCAGTCAGGGTAAGAAAAAAATTGATGCATATAATCTGGTTTGAAATTGATGTGACAGCTTGACAGGCTGTTTTGATAAAAGCTTTGGAGTACTGTAAATGGATATTATCTGTGTTCTTTTACTGCTGACACTCTGTGGAGCATTCTGTATGTGATTTTAGACTGATTATTGTGACCATTGAACAATGAAGCAAGACAAGGCACTATTTCATGTTCACAGCATGTACTTTGCCTACACTGTGTACTTTTTGCATGGCAGCCTTGCTCACCAAATAGAATAAATCTTGTTTTCTGCAGCACATCATTGATTATTTTTTGGTGCTGGCATGGATTAGCCAATCTCAACATTTATTTCAAAGTAAAAGATTGTATTTGGAGAGCAAGTGAACCTTTAGCTGACAAGATATTTCTAAGTAAAGGTGAAATTTATAAAATGCAGGTTGGACTTTTCCTTTAATTCACTTTTCCATAGCTGCAAAAGCCACAGTTTTTACCTGTGCCTGTGCCCGCCACCTGCGTGAGAACCTTCATGATTGCAGATATTTGTCTATACAGCTAGGAACTGTTATACAGATTTTATTTTTAGAAAAGGAATAATGACTTTATGTATGCATTGTATATGCAGTACAATGCATTTCATCATCTATCGTCCTGAGATATTTGAAAAATCATTTTAAATATTTCCTTTCTGTCATAAATGTATTTTTTTTTCTTTCTCCTTTTCCTCTGGGTTTTTCAGCAACAGATGAGTGTATTTTTGTTTCCCTCTCACCACCCAAGAGTCAATTGTGATTTTTCTCCCACAGTGCATTGATCTGTCATATGTTTCTGCTGTTGGTTTTTATAACAAAGTTTCACTTTCTTGCTGAGCCTGTCCCCTGACGTCTTTCATATCTCTTCTGTTTCTAAACTGTTGACTTTTCTGAACACTTTTTTAATCTCCCTTTGCTTTCTGAACACCTCACTTACAGATACGGATTGAGCACTGCTGAGTGATTTCCTTATGGCCTCTAGAGTCTCTCTGTGCTTTCCTAACTGGATGAAAGTGATTCTCAACCTTTATTTGGTCAGGCCTAGTATTCTCATGTTTGGTCTGGAGAAAGTATGAAGGAAGCTCTCCACCCTGCTGTTGTTCCATTGTGGTTTGTGCTGGGCATCATTGCCTACGTGCATGTTCAGCCATTTTATGCCTCATTTCTGTGGTAGTAGTGGCTCTAGGGACTGAAAGCATGGAATGATGATATACCTAGTGGCTGCAAATTTTGTTGTCTAGCATAATTAAGTCTGGATGGTAAAATGATTGACACGGCCCTTGCCTGCATCTTTCTAACACTGTCAGCTGGATCATCATCTCCTAGTTCTTCCAACTGCTAAACCTTTGGGTAGAACTGCAAGCTGCAGGAATGGATATTTAAAACCTGGGATAGTCCTAGTCAAATCAGGAGAGCTGACAAAATGAGTTTGCACTTGTTTGAATATGAACTCCCACTCCTACTGTTGTAATATGTGAGCAATCATTGGAGAAATTTGTCAACAGAAAAAGTAAGATTTGTATTCTTTCAAGGAATTGTTCACCACTTTAAGCCTGTTTCTGTTCACTAAATAGCTGGTCAATATTGAGAATGTAATAGACTGATTTTTCTACATTTATAATCTGAAAAAAATGCTTGTTCTTTCTATGCAGTGCTACCCTATTGGCTTTCTTGGTTGAGCTTCTTAAGAGTTCAGTAGCCATGCAAGAACAAATGCTTGGTGGAAAAGGCTTTCTAGTCATTGGCTACCTCCTTGAAAAGGTATGTTTGGAAGGGGTTTTTATCTTTGTTCTTAGTATTTCTACTGCCATTCTGGTATTTTCAGTCACTTAGCTCAAAGGACTGGTGGAATAAAATATATTTGTGACATGACATATTTTTCATTTGTAATACTTATAAGTTGTCTACAGGAGGCTTTTCACCTTCCTTACATATGCCAATATTCCAAGAATCAGTTTTCTGGAGTTGATCCTTTTTTGTCTAATTTATGCTTTTACTTTAGATCTGTTTGTGAATCACTTTAATATATTTTCATTTGTGTTTCTCCACTCTCTGTTCCCCAAACTCTCATTTAGGAAAGTTCTCTTGTTCCCAGTTTGTACAAGTGTATCACAGACATGTCATAATTTAGATTTAAAATTCTTTTATTTGCGTATGTTAATAAAAATTAAGTTAATCTTCTGTGACTCAGTTCTGAAATTGCTGAAATAGTTGCTCTGTGTTTTGAAGAAGAAAAACTGTGAAATAATTTCATTTCTGAAAGAAACAGTTGCAAGGGGCATTCCATTTACTTGCTTATTTTCAGACATGATGAGCAGTTGTCACAAAACTGAGGTTCAGTTCAGATGCTTGTCTGAGGAACATTGCCTGCCTTCCTGGCCCAAAGCCCTCACTTTACTGTGATTTAATAATCTGAAAACTCTTATAGTTGAATCTCATGACTTCAACATTCTTGAATGTCTGCTACTGTATTTTTCATTAGCATGAAGTCAGTTTATACTTTCAATCATTTGACAATGATTTATAACAATCATTTAAGAAGTTATGACCAGAGCTTTGTGTTGTGTGAAATTAAATAATGATAATATCACCTTTAAAAATGTACTGAATTTTGAAGAAGAATGATAAGTAATTTCTCTCATTCTCCTCCCTGTGTTATTTTCAGCTAGGGAAATACATTCTTGTAGTAGACAGACTTTACCTTCACTGAAGTAATACCTAAAAGCAGATTATTTTCTATTCTTCTATGTTTTCTGTACTAAACAAGTGTGATTTAGAATGTCAAAGAACTAGTCTAAGGTGTGTTTTTTTTCCAGTGGTAGGTTTTCTTATGGCATAATGAGAATGAATTTACAGAGCTGTTAGCTCCAGTTCTGTAAGCTATATACCGGCAGGCTAGTGAGTCCTCACCGAGTCCCTTTCTCTTGAATAGAGCACTATGGTTTACGCACATCGATTACATCAATTCAGAATGTTGTACATGAAATAAAATTAAAAAAAAATTATGTACTATTCTAATTAACATCTGTTACAATCATTAAACTCGGAGTACGTGAATATTTAAAGGATTTTGACTGATTTCTGTCACAACATAATTCTTACAGCATATGCCGTTTTCTGGGGGGGGGTTATGCTCTATTCTCCTTTTCGAAAGGATGCATTTTATTTTTTCAGTATATGCTTATATTCAGTTTGCACACATGGCTTAAAAAAGTCCTTTTGTTTCCTAGCCAGCCTCAATGTTATTATTTGTAAATTATCTGTTGTTCATTTGCATGTGATCAAATACTTCAGAGAGGACAGAAAGCTTTTTTTTTTCCCTAACTTGAACTTCAAAATAACATTTTTGTACTTATTAGTTGCAGACTATTTATTGTGAATTGTGATGTACAAGCCAAAGGAAACTCAGCATCCAGGCTGAACTTGTATTACTGACAAATGGACTTCACTTCTAAAAATAACAAATCTGCATGTTCGCAGACTGTACTTACAGCATTAAAAGTAACTGGAACATTTTTTAGGGAAGGCAAGGGGAAGGATGTTTAGTGGTTTTTCCTATTAGTTACTTTTGTTAACTTAGTGTACAAAGAAGTTTGTCAAAGTCCATGTGCCACGTTACTGCATAGGAGCAACTCTCAACAGTGATGTTACAGCGTATGCTATGAAACTGAAGGACTCTTGAAATTTGAGGAAAGCTTGAACCCAAATCCTTCAAATACTTACTTATGTTTAAGAAACAAAAGCAAGTCTATCAGTAATGTGTGTTTACATATTGAGAAATCCAATTTCACTAAGACCCATAATTAACTGAACAAAGTTTAAGGACTTCTGGTGAAGTTCTTAAGGCACTGTGCTGTAAAATGTGGAATCCTGACTGGATTATAATACACACACACACCCCCCCCCCAACCTACAAAAAGAAAAAGGATTAAATACCAGTTACTGATGAATATTTTCAACCTGTTAAACATAGCCATTAGAAAGACTATTAATATTATTAGAAAGTATAAGTTGCTGATACGTTTTTCTTACTTTCCTTTCATATTCAATGACATAAAATCATATAAAGTTGCATGTATTTAGTAAAGATGAATCTGGTGAAAATATCACTTCATATTTCTGCTCTAAGTATATTAAGGAAGAAAGTTTGTCTTTATTCTTTCTGATTATTTTTCCCCAGTCATCTAGAGTTCATATAACCAGAGCAGTTCTGGAACAATTTTTGTCGTTTGCAAAATATTTGGATGGATTATCTCATGGAGCACCTCTACTGAAGCAATTATGTGATCACATCCTTTTTAATCCTGCTATCTGGATACATACCCCTGCAAAGGTAATTGTACACTTGAATGATGGTATGACCCTCCTACAGGTATTCTTTTATACCATGGTACTTAGGGTTTTTTGGGTTTTTTTTTATTTTAAAATGTAGTAATAGCAAAGTTTTTTTAGATTACAAAGTCTATGCCCTGCTTAACTGTATTCTCCAATGCCTTTCATAAATTTCTAAAAGCAGTTACATTCTTGCCTAAGATTCTGGCTAATTCTGTCAAAAGGCCATTTTTAGAAACACAGTCCATTTTTCAGTGGCTGTGTTACATTGTTTTCCTAAAGATTAAGCATAAAAGTATGTATTTTTAATTGTAAGCAAAAGTTACAATGTCTTTTTTTATCCATTCACATAAATGTAATTTTAATTTAAATTATGTATTTTGCTTTGATAAAAATTATAAAAAAGTTACCGTTCATCTCTGGTGATAATGAATTAGTTGTTTTCCTAAATAATCACAGTTGAGGAATGTGGACCAAAATGAAATGTGACATGGTCCTAAAATCTGATAATATATACTTTTAGTGTAGAAAGCCAAAATAGAAAACAAACTAGTATGTTTATTGTGACATAAATCATAGAAATATGGAAAATTTAAATTGGAAGGGAGCTCTAGAGATCATTCCAGTCCCTGCCCTCAGTAAATGTGTTTGTAATTATTTTTTAATTTTTTCTATCATATCCAAAGTAAATCCTAAAAATCCTACAAATTAAGCTTATTAATATATAACTTCCATTTACGTGGATAACTATTTTATTCTTCAGGTGCAGCTGTCTTTGTATACCTATTTGTCAGCCGAATTCATTGGAACTGCTACGATCTATAACACTATACGCAGAGTAGGAACAGTACTGCAGTTAATGCACACACTGAAATACTACTACTGGGTGATTAATCCTGCTGATAGCAGTGGCATTACTCCTAAAGGATTAGGTAAGTAGAATGCATAAGAAAGAAATTATAAACATTTCTTGTATAGGAAGATTTGTGATGCAAATGTGTGAAAGTTCCTTGGATGTGTAGACAAATAGGTAAATAAATGGCAGTAAATGGTACCAGCAGTCAACAACAGAATAGAACAAGTACTTTTGTGTATCATACATTTCTGATGATAATTCCTTATGTTTATATGTATTCTCAGAAGATTCCAGATCTGGTCTTCACTCACATAGCGTATACTTATGTGGGCATACATTTGAAAACATATTAAAATCATTGATTTTTCTTCTGTACCAGAGAGGAAATATTAAGTCTATCTCAAATGCCAAAGAAAGCTTTGTGGGGTTTGAATGGTTCGTAGTGTTAAGTGACCTTGGAAACAGTGTGGAAACTTCTGTTTCTCAGTGCTGAGACCTCTGATGCTGTATTTCCAGTTTAATACCTTTTTTTCTACCTGTATAAAATAGAGATTTATTTAACATTGCTTATAGTCATGTGCTTAGCTTAGCTCAGGAAGCATTGTATGACGGCAACAGCAAAATACAGTAATTCACACAGGCTAAACGTTGCATGTAACAGATGTGTATTAACCAGAGCATCAAATCGTTCTAATCCTATACACTCCAGCTGTAATGTCATTACATTTAGCTGACTACTTGTGTAAAGCAGGGAGGATTTGGCTGATAGTCCCTTAAAAAATTAATTTATATAGGAAAACTTATTAATTATCTTTATTCTGTAACTATTACTGTCATGCTGAGAAATTGAATAATTGGGGGAAGTTTTAGTGCTGTCATATATCCAAATATTTAAGAATGTGAAGACATTTAAGTTGTTGGATAATTCTTCAGTTGTGAGCTGTATGCATAGTTTTTGTTTTGTTTTGTTGTTTGAGGTTTTTTTAAATAAATAAATATGGAAAGAACAATTCTTATGCTAGATTAGGTGTCCTAATAGGCACTGAAGTTGTATGTTGTTGAGGCTCAAGAAAGAGATTTCTTGGAGCTGGGACCTCATTTATAGTTCTGTCATAGTATAATATTAGATGAATGATATTTTCATAAAATTATTTAAATTTGCTTAAGAAATACCTAACATAAGCACACTGTTCTCTGTTCACTGAATGAAAAATTTGTAATATCAGATTATGAAAATTAACTGTGGTGGTTACTTAATTAGCTTGAAATTTTTGTCAGTGATAAAATTTATTTTCCAGTTACACTGATCCTGGATTCCTTCTGCCAAAATGAAATTAAGTTCATTATTGGTACCTACAATGAAGGTGTCTCCATGTGAGCCAGTTGTCTACTGCTTATAGACAGCGGAATGCAGGAGTTGGTTGCATACGGGTTTCTCGCGTCATTTTATTCTTCGTGGGGCATCCCATCTGCCTTTCAGAAGGATACAGGTGTCCTGTCCATCCTGTGTCAAACCTGCTCGTTCTGTGCGGATATTTTGGATACCCTATGGCATGTCTGATAAGTATGTTTGGGAAGCTGTGTCCTACCCCTAGTCAACAGAGCCTAGAGGACTATTTGGTTTGAAAGGTAGCTGCTTTCTAGAGTCCATTGGCTATATTGATTAGATCTCCATTGACTTCATGGAAAGGTTAGAAGCAGGTCTTACCTGTTGGCAAGTACAGTGTAGACATCTGAAATTAGGGTCAGCTGAATCCTACCCTGGGATGGACTTTATCCAGCTTCCTGCTTTCAGAGCTCTACTCTGCTGAGGGTTACACTGTCGTGCTGTGTAGGTGCAGTTCTACCATCTGACAAGTTAACCGTATCTGAGCTCAGTGAGGAATTAGGATGTTAAAAACTCAGCTGATCAGCTTATAATATGTACATTGCATTTATGACTGTTGAATGACCAGCTGTTGGGAGGTAAATTTTCCAGGTGTCAACCCTATTTACACCTAGACAGAGACCTGGAAAATTGCTCAACTCGTTGGAGACTGTAAGTTTGATAATATTCTCTACTTGTTATTGCTGTAATTCTTTCTGGGTTTTTTGTTTTGTTTTTTAATTAAAGAATTCCTGTACTACTTCTGTGTCATGATACTAGTACCTAACAGCACTTTGAAAATGTAGTGCATATTACAGACTTCCCTCTGGCTAGGCTTGCTCTTTTCTGGAAACAGTGTGACATTTCTTTCTGTAGGAGGTATAGCTTGTTTTTATCTCGCCCAGATCTGTCTCTCTGCAGTTAGCTGTATTTTTGGAGTATTTGTATGTGTAATGGCAGTTGAATAGCTACAAAAATATATGTAGTGTATTCATCAAAATCTGAACAGAAGGCATGGGGTGCACAAGGACACAAAATTAGGGATGAGAAATGAATCGGTTAACTCTAAATTAGCATACATATGGCTGTTTTACTTCCCTACCTTTTCTTTCATTTTACCTATTTTAAGGTAAGATAGTACATTCTCTTCTCATTTGTGTCAATTCCAGACAATACTGTGCTTTTCTCAGGAAAGCAACCAGGTAGCTCCCTGAAAGGTAATCAGATAGTGCAAACTCCTGGTTGTTCGGTGTAGCAGTATGACAACAAAAATCACAATTACTAAGGTCTTCATGCAGTAGTTGGGAAGGCATTTGATAAACTGTGAGGCCATGCACATTTTCAAAATACATATTATCCACTATATCTGAATATTCACTTTTTTTCCCCTTTAGTTAGATTTATAGATAAACTTGACTTTTTAGAAGGTTAATCTCAACTTTCTTCCTTCTTCCTTATCCTACTGCTTCATCCCTGCTGCTTAGGCTGCAGAAGGTCCCATGTAATTAATACAACTATAAGAAAGTATTTTGTCGTAGTCTCTTTCCTGTCTGTAAAAATGGCTTTCCTTGTGTTGAGTTGAAGAATGTCAGCTTGTCAGAGAGGAAAATAAGCTACATAGCAATGGATGTGCAAATCCATCGTAGTGATGGAATTTTCTCCATGCAAATCAGCACTACGACTTTTTTTGCTATTATTTCACAGGTAGCTTCTGCTTCTGACCAATACAACTGTAATAACTGTGGTGAATTGCAAGCAAATGACTGTGGAAATATAATAATTGCTGAGGTGATGTGGTACTAAATTTACTTTCATATCAACTTAATTTCATATTAGTTTTTAATCAATTTCACATTAATTACTTCCAGTTGATAAAATTCTTGAAAACTTTCAAAATGTTTAATCACCTGGATATAGAATCATAGAATCATAGAATCATAGAATGGTTTGGGTTGGAAGGGACCTCAAAGATCATCTAGTTCCAACCCCCCTGCTGCAGGCAGGGACACCCTC